TGCTGTGTTTATACAAAGCTTTTCAGCTTCTGTGTAGTTCATTGAAACTGTTTGTAGGGACAGAGTGAACTACCTTGGAATTGGCACGTTTATAACTTCAGTTTGGAAGGCTGGGTATTGCCTCTACTTTAGATGACTTTTTTTTCTGGTCAGCTTAGATCTTGTTTTAAAATATGACATATAAAAAATGCCACTAAATCTTAACAGTGCTTATTTTCAGAAACTCATCAATTGCTGAAAGGAATTGTATGACATGCTTGCTTGTGAGAGCAGGGACCCTATCTGGAGAACCAAGAGGTGTTTCTTAGTTACATGTTCCTGGGCTCTGTGGCATAACCTAACTATTCCTGTAATAATAGCTGTTTAGGTCTGTGCTTCTGCAATGGCTCTAGTGAGGAATGGAACCACATTCTCAATTAAAAAGGCTACACAGACCCTAAATAACTGAAATAATATTGTATGGTTAATAATCTACTGATGTTTCTGAACTGCTGGTACATCTTCCTGCATCTGAGATGCTCCTAGAGGGAGCATAAAAGCAAAAGCAACATCTGTGTGTGTTACTTCTGCCGTGGCTGCAGCTCAGGAGGATGATTGTAGAATTGCTGGACACTGCACGGCTGCTTATCTGCAAGCCAGTAACTTACACAGTTGTGTGCATCCCATTCCCCTATTTGTCTGTCGAGGATCCTTAAGAATGAAAAAACTGAATTTAACTGATGCCTCATTCTTGAAATAATAGTGTATATATAGAAAAAAAAAGTTGAGAGCAACAACTTTAACTTAGCTATAAATCTTCTTAGAAGACAATTTCCTGGATTTTTTGATTGCTGTAGATTACTGTGCTGCCAGAACTGCGGATGTCTTAAGTATTGATTGCCAGACTTGCAGCAGACCTGGTGAATTGAACTCAGCAGATATAACTAAAAAAGCAATGGATGTGCTAATATGAAATACAAAGCCATTGTAAAGAGACTTTATAATCTTGTTAATAACACCTGTCAGTGTTAGAGACTTAAGTATATCCTTCTAGATATGGATACGAGAACCTAGGATCTCATCTGCTGTTATCTGTTTTACATTTTAATTACTTAGTGAAATTCAGTACCAACACTGTCCACACTTATTCACTGGTCTCAGTGATTATGCTGATATGCTGAAGTTTGATAAACACAGATGTTTACTTCTCTTAGAAGCTCCCTGTATTATAGGTGATTATATATAGTGCTAAGATATTAATGAGATAAAAACTTGGGTTATTCTATAGAAAACATTTCTAACTTCATTTCGAGAACTAGGAAGCTTCAAGATTGCAAGGTTTCTTGCAAAACAAAAAGAAGTTTGTGGTTACTTGACATGCCGTGTCTAGACTGTGTTTTCAATTTTTAACATCAAATTTTGAAATGAAAAATTTTAAATCATGTTTTTTCAGTGTTGTTTTGAGGAAAGTCTCAAAAAAATACAGTAAGTGCATACCAAATGCAGTTCAAAATATTCTGTGTTGTATTTTTTGAGTAGTGAAAAAAAATCTTCAAAAATTCTGGCAATTTCTGTTAGATATTAAGAATGTTCTGAAAAAGTATAGTCTTGGATTGTGCATTTTTCTTCTGTGGGATTGTAGTAGCAAGTGTTAAAGTTTTGAATTGGAGGGAAGTAGGTGACGGCAAACAGCATGTCAGCCGTGGACTTCATAATGGTCTGTAGTGGTCTCTTGTTTTCCTCACATCTGGATTTGCTAATACTAGCTTGGGTCTAAAGCTGACCTTCAACTAAGTTAAACCTTTGTTTCCAGGTAAGCATTGTCAATGATAACCGCTGTACTGGAGAGTTGTATTGGTAGTGAACACTGAGTAGTAGTTCATGTGTAAGGAAAAAAAAACCCATAATGCCACCACTTACTTTTTATAGCATTTTGCATCCTTGTTGTATTTATGTAGATGACAACAACTGTAACCCAAAGGAGTATCACTATCATGGATTGCTGTTGGGAGAAGCCACTGAGCAGGTTTGTCTCATAGTAGAAAAGTGAGACTACTGACTATTTTGAAGAAGGAAAAATGTTTTTCTTACTGGCTTTTCCTTAGTCTCTGGAAGTTGGATTGTCTCCTTAGACAGCATATAGTTAGTAAGGACTTAAACTTTGCCTTGTGCAGAGGGTTGTGTTACCTTTTTTTAAAATTAAAATAACTTTGGTTTTGCAAACTGGAAAGTACAGGCAAAGGGTTTGGATTTGAGACCACTTCTAGTTAAGGAGTTTTGGTAGTTGTGGTTCAGAATGTTTGCAAGTCAAATATTGGTACCTCAAATCATAGCATCATTATGGCTGGAAAAGACCTTTAAGATCATCAAGTCCAACCGTTATCTAACTCTACCGGGCCCACTTCTAAACCATGTCCCTGAGCACCATGTCTAGACAGCTTTTAAATAGATCCAAGGGTGGTGATTCAACCACTTCCCTGGGCAGCCTCTTCCAGTCTTTGATAACACTTTCAGTGTAGTTTTTCCTAATGTCTAACCTAAACCTCCCCTGGTGGAACTTGATGCCGTTTCCTCTTGTCTTATCAGTTGTAACTTGTGAGAAGAGACCAATGCCCCCCTCTCTACAACCTCCTTTCAGGTAGTTGTAGAGAGCATTAAGGTCTCCCCTCAGCCTCCTTTTCTTCAGACTAAACGACCCCAAGTCCCTCAGCCACTCCTCATAAGACTTATTCTCAAGACCCTTCACCAGCTTCATTGCCCTTCTCTGGACCTTCTCCAACACCTCAATGTCCTTCTTGTACTGTGGCGCCCAAAATTTAACACAATACTCAAGGTGTGGCCTCACCAGTGCGGAGTACAGTGGGACAATCACTTCTCTAGCCCTGCTGGCTACACTGTTCCTGATGCAGGCCAGGATGCTGTTGGCTGCCGTGGCCACCTGGGCACACTGCTGGCTCATGTTCAGCCAGCTGTCAATCAACACCCCCAGGTCCTTTTCTGCTGGGCAGCTTTCGAGCTGCTCCTCCCCAAGCCTGTTTTGTTGCATGGGGTTGTTGTGGCCCAAGTGCAGGATGCAGCACTTGGCCTTGTTGAAGCTCGTACTATTGGCCTCACCCCATCAATCCAGCTTGTCCAGGTCCCTCTGAAGAGCCCTCCCACCCTCAAGCAGATCAGCACTCCCACCTAACTTGGTGTTGTCTGCAAACTTACTGCGGGTGCTCTCAATCTCCTCGCCAAGATTATTAAAAAAGATATTAAACAGGAGTGGCCCCAACACTGAGCCCTGTGGAACACCACTTGTCACCAGCCACCAACATGTACTACATGTCTGCGTCTTTTATATGAAAATAAACATTCTGATTTGGTATACTAATGTAGCCTTGTCTTTTCCTTTCTGTCTGTGTAGCATTAATGGGTAGGAAAGACATATATGTCTTTCCTAAATATGTTGCCTGTGGTTGATGTAGAAACTTACTCAAATACATATTCTGTATTCAATTTGTTGCTCCTACTGAGAATTATTTACACATTCTTAAAATCTAGATCACATTACTTGGGTGAAGTGAGGAGATGGTCAGACCTCAGTGTTGATAACTGGTTTCTGGGTTTGATTTTTAATTGCCTCAAGTCAGGCAACTTACTACTCTCATCTGTACCCTGTGGTAAAAATATTTTTTTCTCCTTTCCACAATAGCTACTGCAAGGCATAACTTAATGTTTGAACTGTTCGTTGATCAAAGCTGGGCAGTATTGACACCAGGTGTTTTTAAATGAGAAATAGGTAAATAGCTTAGATAAAGCTTGCATAGTCATGGATGGCAGAAATCAAGGTTACAACAGTGGCACTAACATACAGATACTTCACTTGCGTGGTCTGTTTTTCCCTATCAGACTCTTGAAAACAATGGGGTGGTGGTACTTGTTTATGTGTCCATGTTGCTGAAAAAATGGGGAATGAATGAAAATGTAAGCTACTTGTGCAGAGAAAGGAGCTTAAAAAGTGTGTTAGTCTTTATAATGTGCAAAATGAGGAAACAGAGAAAGTATGCAATGCTGTTGGGGGTAAACTTGCAGTCACAGGGTTTGGACGGTATGAAAAAAAATACTGCAGCTTTAATGCTGTGAGCCCCCTTTTTTTTTTTTTTTTTTTTTTTTTTTTCTTTCACCCCCTGAGTTCAAATAATAAGATCTTGCAAGCTGTTGATGTACCAGTGTTTAAGCCGGCTTCTGTAACCTTCCAGCTGCATATGTTAATACACGTTTTCAGATAATTCAGACTACAAACACATTCATGTTTTCAAAGTGCACAAAAGCCTCATTTCCTAATGACTGCTAAGTTTCTGATTTCACTCTTGACTGTACTAGCATTCCAAAAGAAGCAAATTGGAAAATTGGTTAGTTTGTTTGCTTTTTTTTTTTAAGGAGCTCTGTAGCTATGCCTAATGTTTACCCTGCAGTTACTTTTTTTTTTTTTTTTTAAAAAAAGGGGGGGGGACAGAGAGTGCATTTTTTTTTTCTTTGACAGTTTGAAACTGAAAAAGCAACTACATTTTTATCGCTCCACAAGTCATGAAAATACTATGTGTGCAAAAGTGAGTTCAGCAGCCTTAAATACAAGTGAATGCTCTCTTAAGTCTACAAGTCCAATAACTGCTCACATCCTTCCAGCAGTAACGTTGCAGGCTCTTTCCAACCTCCTGAAGGCTGGAAATTGAAAATGCAAAACTTTAGAGGGCAATGTCATAGTTTTTCAGGAGTGGTTAGTTTAGTGTGTTACACATGCAGGCACAAATGCATGTATAGGGGAATGCAGGGGAAAACTAGATGGTCAGTGGACCTGAATAGGTTAGAAGATTGTAAACTGGTTTGCTTTGTCTTCATTTGAAAAAATGAGGTGTGGAACGATTAGTATAACCCATATTGATCTCCTTCTGTATTGAACAGGCCACAAACATTTCAGAATATAGTCTTGGTAAGATAAACCAAAAATTGGATTTTTCTTTTCCTGAAAATTCCAAGCGATGACAAATCTTCTGCTACCCTTGGTAAATGGGGATTTGAATTTATTATTGCATTGTGTGTTTTAGAAATAGTAATTTTGAAATTGTGCTTCACTGTTCAGTTCCTGGTTTTTAGTCTACTCAGACCCTTGTAACTTTACTTGCTAGCTTGCTCCTTTTTTCTTTTTTTTCCTCCCCCCTTCCTGTAAGTAATTTGACTGCAAACAAATCTCCTAGCATCTTTCTTTTTCGTCAGCTCCTCGTGTCCTTACTGTCTGGCATATTATCTGATCCTGTAATAATTTCTGTGTTTCCTTTCTGAACTTTCTCCAATTTACCTTCTCATGCTGTTCTGTTCTGCAGGGACCTAGCTTAGAAACACAGATGGTGGAAGATGAAACTGAGACAACAAGTGAAGAAGAACTGCCTCCTCATCTGCGGGAAGAGCCTCCCGAAGGTACAGTACTCGCAGTCAATATAAACTCTGCATTAAATCAGAGAAAATGTTCTGGCCAAGGAAGTCTTATTTATTTATCTCTCTATCTGATTTGAGAGCCTACCTCTGCCTATTTTCTGAGAGGGGTAAAGCTTTGTTAATGCTGACAGCTGAACTAACCTCCAAGCCAGATGTCTAGCCTTTTGCATGCAAAGAAAGCTGAGGTGCGGACATTCTTCTGCATTCTCTTTAACAATGTGGTTTCTGATTAAAATTGTCCTGCTTGATCATCCTGTCTGTAGGCTTTGAAATAAAATGCCTCCTCTACTGTCTTGTTTGTGATGTTCTGAGCCTTCATTAGGGAAGACTTCCTAAGTAGTCACCTATTCTTTCCTTGCCTCTCTCTGCAGCATCCTGCTATTGAAATTGTCCCCAGCAGAGACTTGTCAAAGTTAGGTATTCTAGTGATTTTGTTTCTTTCCGCTATCTCTCTTGGAAGCCAGTTTAGCCATCTGAGGAGGAGGCAGTGAGATGCTGTCAGTCAGTAGGAGGCTCAAAAATACCAATTTTAATTAAAAACCTTGTTTGCAATGACATGCCCTGGATTTATACAGGGAACAGATTTTTCCCACTGTGTAAATGTTGCGGACATTGTATATGTGCAACAAAATAGGTGTTGCTTTCTTTTGAATAGAAGCTGCTAACATTGCTGCAAGTGGTGATACGTTTTGAGCTTTGTCTCCGTTTCAGTGACTTTTAAAACACAATCGCCCATCATCCTTGCGGATGGCTTAAACAACCCGGAGAGTGCCGAGATTCTTATTAGCAATGTACTGTTAAAATACCATGACATGTCTCTAGGAAACATGAATGTGTTTTATATTTTTCCTCTAAGAGAATAAGATGCTGATACAGCATTTATACTGACAGCTGTTCTTAAAGGGAATATGAACCAGGTAGGTGGTTTTAGGAATTTGCTGCTCCATCACTTCCTGTTGAGCATAGTTTTCTCATTAAGTTGTAATTTCTTGTTCTGTCATTTCATATACTCTGCGTTGGCAATTACAGTATATAGAGGTAAGTTAAAGACAGGCTTCTTTTTTCAACGCCTATAAAGCCAGAAGGAAATAAATGTGGAAGATGTTGTAATTGCTATCTATATACGCACAGAGGATATAATCTTGATTTCCCCCCCACACTCCTTCTTTGTAAGTAATGCCAAGTCAGCAAGTAATGACAACACATTGTTGAAGTAAGAATTCTGGTCACTAGCCTGAGCTGATGATTACATGAGCCTAGAGACCATATAATGAAATGTAAAACACAGAAGATCATCTTGTCTCATCAGTTTATCAGGAGTAGTCTTAGATTTTTGGACAATTGCTTTGAATTGTGTAATCAAACAGGTGGGTTTTTTATAACATGGCTACTTAGTTTTGCAAACCAAGTTTTTGTAATTGGAAATATTTGCTTCTGCCTGCAACCGTGCTGGTTTGAATGATGATGAAATATGTCAGTATTCATGTTCCACTTCTGTGACTTGTTGGGTGGTCTGGGAGAAGTATGTGCTCTGGATTTGCCGCCTTTGCCAGGGTAAGGAAAAAGAACTGTAACTGTTGAGCTGATTTCGTGAAGCAGTGGTACAGTAGATACTGTGAGTTCTTTTAAAGTCTGAGCTCAGTGTGTACTTTTTAAATTTACAATGATGTTAAGAGTAGCAAAATAGGAGGGGTATTGAGAGAACAACTGAAACTAGGGCCTGCTTGGGAGAAGAGGTGGAAAAATTGCTCCTGAAAGACAGCCATCAGGATTATGCTGAACTTAGCACTGTCTCTGTATATTAGGGGAGCTGAGTAACAGGGGTCTTCCTTAGGAGCTGCTGTCTACCAGCATAGACCAACTGAAATTACTGTAAGGATCATGTAGTTGCAGGAGGGATTACAAATATCCCGTGGCAGAAACAGATCACTCGAGTTCTTTTACTATTAAATGCCATTCAGTACTACCTTTTTGTTGTTGCTCTTCTGCTGATTTCTGCTTTCTTCTGAGAGCACTTTCCTAGTTAAATCAAACGCTTTGCAATAAATAAATAAACCGTGTTGTCATGACTGCTGCACTCTTGTTTCCTGGGATCTATGAATTGGAGACCGTGTCTGCTTGCCATCTGGTAATGAGCGCGTAAGGGATGGAAAGCTCTCCAGAGCCTCTGTCTTTCTGGCACAATCCATTATTTCACCAGATTGCATCATGGTGACTTCGTTTTCTAGCTTGCGCTGTGCGTTTACTCCCCTGCTGAAAGGGGGGGGACTGGAAGCGCTGTGCTATATAAATATTGCAGTGAAATCAAAGGTTACCCTCCAGGGACTGTCCTGGTCCTGAGCAGCGGTGCAGTATGGCCTTCTGCAAATACAGGGACAATTTTAAGAGTCCATCATGTACATAACTAAATCGAATAAGTGTATGTGTGGGTGACAGGTGGTATAGAATAGCAAAAGGGTGCAGCGCGGCAGCCTGGCGGTATTTGAGAAAAGGGAGTTTTGTGGTTTAAAAAGGAGATTAACCAGGACCCCCCCGAAAGGTAACCAAGGCAGAGGCCGCGTGTGTAACCTGAATCCGTTTATTTTATCTGCTGTCAAAGTTAACTTTTTTTTTTATATTCAAATCCGCCAACCGAGTAAACCAGTAAAACGCGCAGCTGATACGAAATGCTGTTAAGTGATATTAGATACCCAAAGGCGCTTTTTACTTCATAATGAAGATGCGTTCTTATCAACGGCGTCCGCGTGCTGCGCCCCGACTTGAAACGAAGCGGAGAAACCGAGCTCCGGTCGG